TTCTCTTGAAGGCTCTGGACTCAGCAACACAAGCCCTGGGCACTCAGACTCGGAGTGACACCCTGTTTTGAAGGTCGAGCCCTGTCCACTCAAGTCTAAGCGCTCAGAGTTTGGGAGCTACATTAAAGAGAAGGTTCCTCCTGTTGAGGGTTTCCAGAGCCTATCTCACTTACGCAGTGACTTTCCTCAGTGGGGCATTAATGTCAGGTAAATCTATGCCGGCGAAGATGTGCCCGTCCATGTCATTGACCCCAACCAGGTAGTCAATGTCGGCAGCGTTGGCAAAGAGATTCTCTGGCATGTCTGGGAGGAAATCTCCATCAACCACAGGAGTCAGGGCCAGGGTGTGCACCAGGGCAGCTGCAGCAGGAGACAAACCCAGAGTCTGTCAGGAGGTGAGAACAGACAGGTGTGTGGTCTGGCATATCCCAAGAGTCAAAGAGCTGTGGAAAGGACAGGCTGAGGTGAATGACAGCTTGAGCAGTGACTTCAGCACAGGCAGGATGTCACACAGAAGTAGGGTAAACCTTGTGCCTGTGGGTGAAAGAGAAGAGCAAGAGATCTGGCAGCCATGTTCCCAGGGAGTAACATCCTCTCCTCCACCAACTCCCTTCCCAAAAAGCCCAGCCAGTGTAGGGAAGAGCTGAACTTCTTATCCCATCTGGCCATGCTCTCTGACTGCCAGGACTGCCAGCTCCAGCCAGTGCATGTGCATAGCAGTGGCTTGGCCAAATCTCTGTCCTGAGCAACGCTAAAGTCTCATAGTGACCAGGAGCATGAGGAGAGCAAGAGGTGTGTTCTTGGGAAAGGAATCCTCATAGGCAGCAAAAGCAGCAGCGTTCCCTTCCTAGTGTGAGTCCCACACTCCACCCAGCGACTCAAATGGAAATAGCAGAGATGTGGTCAATTGTATTTTGTTTGTAAGCCGCGTGCGGGAGTTGCTCTTGCTACTTCCACAGACCAGGAAGCCCAAACAGCTTCTCTGGAGTCAAGGCATGACCCCTGGATAATCCCTGCTGCCTGATGGGCTGTGCTTATCCAGCACAATGTGCACCTGTCTACGGAAGGGTGACTGCAAGATCTGTCATTATTGTCCCCGTTCTGAAGGGCACAAGCACTGCTTCAACACTGCTGGCAATTACCCCAGTGTCCTGCCAGAGGTTTGGGAAGCCCTGAGTGGGTGGTGGATCACATTGCAGGCTGGGGGACTTACTGGGCAGGTTGGTCAGCTGCAGGTGGTAGGCCAGAGTCAGTTTTTTGGGATCAGCGGCACGCAGGCAGCTGGCCAAGATGGTGGTGTTGTCTGTGGAGCAGCCCAGCTTTTCTCCAAGCTGTGGGAGCAGAGAGAAAGAAACCTCCTAGCATTACCTCCGAAAGACAGGGGTTACAGAGGAAGAGCTGTGGTTGGTTTTAATCTCTAAGCATCACGTTTTCAAAGCCCTGCTGGACATGGCTCCTGCCAAATCCCTTACTAGTTATGCTCTCCTCGAGGGAACTACTTTTTAGGAAGCTATAATCCTTCGACAAGA